TTGCGTTTTTAATTCAACGTTAATATCTGAATTAATACCTGTTTTTTGTTGATCGGAAGCGATAACAATTTTATTATTATAACCTATCACTTGACCGATCTTAGGTTCAATATTACTCGGAGACATGTATAATCCTGGCGCATAAACGAAGTCCACTTTGGATTGAGCGTACTGTAATACATCTTGAAAACGCTTTATAGACGATGGTATGTCAACTGGTGAATTAATGGCGTCCTCTACGTTTGCGACAAACTGTTTTTGCGCATCGAACGCCGTCCCAGTACCGATAATGGACGTTCGTGTTTGCGATTGCGCTCCAAGAATTGCCCATACATAAGTTCTTATTGATTCATTAAATCTTACAAATCCTGGGTTTGTAAAATTATTTTCCGTTTTATCATTAAAAAATTCATTCCAAGCGTTATCGTTCAGTTGTACAAATTTTTTACCAATATAAATAGACCCACTCTTAAAACTCATAATATCCCCTCTCCAATCGTTACTATAAAGTTCCCAGCCTTTATACCAATGACTGGTTTTATACTGATGATCATACATTCTTGAGTAAAGTTTGCTGGTACGCACCAACTTATTAAAATTAACATGAAGTTTATTAAGTTCTTTATATACATAATCGCTTTCTTCTTTGACGGTTATTTTTTCCTCTGTGTAAGGAACACCTAGACCATGGTTTGCTCCTTTAATGCGCCAATCTTTACTCGTAGAAACATTAAATTCCTGAAAAATACGCTCATTCGCGGACCTAGCATAATTATTATTTGTGGAATTCCACGCTCGATCCTGCGGTAATGGAGCATTAATTTCTTTGAGTATACGTCTAATCTGATAATACATGTAAAAAAAATAAAACAGACTTAGTTAGCATATATCCTGGGGCATTAACAGATACGCCACATCCCGTTGTGGCACACCATACGGCAAAGTTTAACTGATTCTGCCAAAATTGCATCGGATTGTGAAACCAATCGTGCACCATTTTATCGCTAGTTGCTGTGACCCTGTACTTTTCAAAGATATCAGGGAATTTAACGAAAAAATAAGTACCATAGGAATTTACCATAATCGATAGATTAGTAATGTGTCTCGATTTCATATTTAAGTTATGATATAGTATCATTGTATATTTAATATGTATGTTACACTCCCGGGAAAAACAAATGGTCAGTCTGTTTAACTGCTTCGTACTATCGATAACTCGAATGGTCAGCTCGAAGTAGCTCTATGCGATGTAACCTATGACACTCTGTGGACCAATATAAGTGCTGTGAGAGGTAATAATTTGATTATTGTAATAAATGAAAGAGGCAGTATTACTATACCTGATTGGTATTACAGCGTATGCTTACTCAATGATGAATTTTTTAAGCCTAATGGAGCTAGTCTCACACAAAATGAATCGAATGGGATGTTGAATTTAAGCACTGGAGAAACAGCTGTAATACTTAACGAGAACTTATCAATTACACTTGGATTTAGACAGTCAGTAGCATTACCAGCCAATGGAACAATACATGGAGATACATTGCCTGATTTAGTTCCCTATAAAGAGTTGTGTATCCATCTTGATCAAATAAGCACGACGGATAATATTCAACTAGAAAGTCCTTCAACTCTGCTCAGATCTATTCCAGTGAAAAATGAAAAATATAATAGCGGTAGAACGGAATCTTTCTCGTCATTACAATATAAAAAATTAAAGTGGGGTATTATTTCAGACCTCAAAATTTCTGTATTAGATGTAAAACACCAACCTGTACATATAGGATACTTAAGTGTAACACTCCATATTATAAATAATGGTTGATGCATCAGGCCCTGGAACGCTCAGACAATGTAATACAATTGCACTTTCCGATCTCGAAGACACGGCAGACTGAATATCGTCATTACCCCACCTTATGCGATGATAGTTAAGGGACATAATTTAACTAAGATAATAAATAGTGGCATCGTCCTCGCGATTTATATCCCATCAAAACGAAAAAGTGTGTTAGTCACTTTTCTGCCAGAAGACCCAGGTCATATGTTATATAGTCGTCCGGCCTTAAAAAATGTTAGTTTAAATTTGGTTACTGAATTCCATGATATTAAACAGAATTTGAGTGCAATACCTAATACTTCTATGCTTATTATTGAAGTCTTGTTCAGAGATGCACCGGTAGATGCCTTCGAAATATTACCAGGCCTATCGATTAAATGGCTCAAGAAACACCAACGTCAACGTTGCAGTATTATTCATATCGGAGCATCCCCCTTTGCAACCCTCGAGGGGGTCCAAATTATTAAAAGTGGTAGTATTTCTCTTACTAAGATATTCTTGCCGTATAATATACATTTAATAAGATTGATGTATACTCTCAAAACATTTAAGCAAGACAAATTAAAGACTATTATATGACCGTAATATACACTATGAGTTTATATCCGGTGCTCGATGAAGCAATTGAAAAGATGGAAACTGTTGATGGATTTCGATTACATCATATAAGCGACATAAAACATCGAATAGAGAAGGATAGGGGGTTGAGACTTGGATTGTATAAAAAGTATCGCAGAGCCGTGAATGCTCTGGACGGAGTTGACACCGCGCTTGTAGCAGCTGGCATGGGACTCGGTGTAGCAGGTGTTGGTTTACTATCAACTATTATCACGGCGCCTATCGTGCTCAGCATGGAAATAGCCGCTGGAGTCTTGGGACTGGCAGGAATAGCGATAAAATTCATTTCTCGTAGGTTACAAAAGAAAGCATTAAAACACGATAGTATTCGGATACTCGCCGAATTAAAGTTGAACAGCATTGAGGATCATATTTTGACAGCAATGGTCGATTGTAAGGTATCCAAGGATGAGTTTCGTTTAGTGCTGTCGGAACTCACCAAATACGACGCAATGAAGCAGGAGATTCGATCAAAATCTCGTAAGACCAGTGGTATTAGCGAAGACGAGAAAAAAAGTTCATAGAACAGGGGAGGCAACAAGCGCGTCAATTATTCCGTGCCAAAACCAAAGAACTGGTTGGAGATTAATAATAGATTGCTTACTATCGTTTGATCACATTTAGACAAATGCTTACATACATATATACAATAATGGAGATCGAAAAAGCTATTAAATGGAGAGAATTACCACAAGGTATTTCATATATCAGTGATGACAAACCAACCAAATACGGTTATCAATTGTTTCTTATCAATTTACAAGAAGAGTGCAGTTATAAAGTCTGGTCTCCTAGTAAAATGAACGAAGAACTTAATAAAAAATGTTGAATATCGCTTTATCGATAAAAATAATGAAGAATATTTTTATTACCATTTAGGCTCATCTAAAGCAATGATTGGCCCCAGGTATTGGTGAGCTAGGCCTAATTTAACTTAATCTTATGACTATCATTGAATCGCATCATCATTTTGGCATAAAAAATGCCACCTGTAGTAGCAGTATAGGTATATGAATCTGGCTCCAGTGGAGTTGCGGCAGAACCCCTATTACCTATACTACTGTATGTTTTAGTAAAGTGGGAGAACCATGACAAAATTTTAATGCATGTAAAACTTTGTAAAAATAAGTCTACATGCAGCGATCTTTGTGAGTAAAAAGTAATCTATCCCTTGTTTATGTTCTCTGTTGGATTTCGCGATTCTGTGACAACGGGACCAACAAACATAGTATGTTGTTCTTCCTGACGCCACTAGGCTAGTTTCGTTATCTCAGTTACCAACATCGCGTCAATATTAGTATACACACTGAACTATTCCTTCTCAAATTCAACCCGACAATAAATAGTCATACATTGATGATTTTAGACAAGCAAAAATCCGTCGACACTTACCTACCGTGTTGTATCATTGGAAAATGCGTGGACGAGCTCCGACCCCTGTCAACACGTCAAGACAAATCTCGATGCAGCTAGACCTAGCTCCTTACAGCGATGTCTCGTTCCCAGTGCTACCTTGTATTTCAATAGCAGAAGCAAGCTCCTCAACAGCACTAGCGTAGACTGTTTCTCGCCCCTTTCCGTAAAATGCCAAGAGAAGGATATATATACTGGTTACCGTCTCAACTTGCGCCAATCTTATATTGTGGTAAGCAATGAGATTAGAAGGTAAACCACCAGCACAGAAGTTACTGATCACGCCTGCTATTCTTCTGAAGATACGTAAACAAATTGACCTGACCTCACCGTTCAACAAAGCTTCCTGGTCATCCTGTTTGGTGTGGTTTCCACATTTTTAAGAAAATCGAATCTGTTGCCCTCCAATGTGGAAAATCCAAACCACTCACAAGCATTTGTGTATTCGTGACGTCACATGGTATAGTGATAAAGTGCTCGTACCGGCGACATAGACACAGGTGACTCATGATCCCGATATGTTTATCAAGGTGTTGCGCGGTGTGCTAGCGGCATGTGGGTTATAACCTCAAGATAACATTTGACATTCCTTCCGAGGGGAGGCTGTACTTTTGCTTTGAATATCGGCATGACACAAGTGCTGATAAAATTATACAGTGACTGGAAGTCAAACGCCTTTCAGCGTTATATCACAATTGAGGACTTGCACAATTAAGGACTTGCACTGTAAATTCGCACGACCTTTGGTTTGGGGGATTTTGAGGTATTTTTACATTGTTTTAACACATAAAGAATTTATTGTCAATTAAATATTGATCTATTCCCCCTTTGTGTTTTCTACCAATGGACCACGGAGGCGGGACAGATAACGTGAGACGACTCTCTGGAATCCTGTGATCGGGGTTAGAATCTCAGTTTGACAATGAGTATGGTTCCAGACCCGAGTTCGTGGCATTCACCTGCGTTACATCCTGTCCCTCCCACATCCATCTGACACGCCGTGATGTAACCAAGATAAAGCCCACAACACACACACACACACACACACACACACACACACACACACACACACACACAGATACGGCTGACACTACTTTCATACCAACAAACTTTGTAACAAACGTTTGTATACATTAATAAACTGGTTTATTTTCAGATTGATTGCATCATACAATACATTTTTACAGAATGTACACATCCAAAATTGAAAACATGCATTTACATAAATTGTCGTTTTACTTGAGGTGAAAGTTCTATGTACCTACATGCACCTCATCACAGCTATATAATACTAAACAACGTATCCTCTGCCTTGGAACATTTATAAATCGCTATTCTACACGTATTGTTGCACGAAGCAATCACTCGACAATGCAGCATAAACATTTTTACACATACTTCCTAATTACATGAGTTTACATTCATGAAATATTGAAAATGAAAAGCAAAAAATAAATATACTCTCAGCCTACATGTTTTATAGATCCGCATGTCGCCGCCATATTGTTTCTGTCAAGTGAACAGTTTCTGCAGCATGCTGTGTTTCAGGGCATTGCTGCTGGGCGGTGCTGCGATTAGTGGAACGTGTAGCTACCGATGTCAGTTTGTGCAGCATGCTGTGTTTCAGGGCATTGCTGCTTGGCGGTGCTGCGATTAGTGGAATGTGTAGATACCAATGTCAGTTTCTGCAGCATGCTGTGTTTCAGGGCATTGTTGCTGGGCGGTGCTGTGATTAGTAGAACGAGTAGCTACCGATGTCAGTTTGTGCAGCATGCTGTGTTTCAGGGCATTGCTGATGGGCGGAGCTGCGATTAGTGGAACGTGTAGCTACTGATGTCAGTTTCTGCAGCATGCTGTGTGTCAGGGCATTGCTGCTGGGCGGTGCTGCGACCAGTGGAAAGTGTAGATACTAATGCCAGTTTAGTGTGCATGCTGTTGAAACTTTGAACAAGATGAGCATGTACTTATATGGGAGATGATGTCAGCTGTACATTATATACATTGTGTCGACTTCCACCGGGCTTTTGTGACTTCGTCACGACCATTAGTGACGTCAATTGACGACACACTTGTATCTCTTGCAATGGACGCCACAATATTGACGATAAAAGCCGATCTTAACCTCGATCTGAAACAGAATGAAAACGTTGCTAACAACTTAGGTAAACATATATTGTATTCATTTACAGCAGACCTGTGAAGATCCGGGCTAGAATAGGTCTTCAGCAACCCATGCTTGCCCTTAGAGGCGTTTATGCTTATCGTAAGAGCCGACTAACGGTATCGGTAGTCAGACTCGCTAAATCGGTTGATCATTGTCATCGTATCCAACTTGCGTGGATCGATGCTCATGATGTCAATCACTGGATTGTCTGGTCCAGGTTTGATTATTTACAGTCCGACATCATATATCTGGCCTCATTAATATAGAGGCGTTAAACAACAAACACACATAATAAAGAGGACCGATTTGTTTTGTCGAGATTCGCCATAGTTGAAATAGATGAAGCAAAGCCACACCTGTCTACTTGCTGGGTTCCTCCTCTTCATCCTCCAGGTAACCCCTCTCCCCCATCCACTCGTCATTGAGGAACCGCGTCCTGCAACAGGAGACAAAGTCAGTACCTCACTGTGTACAGGGTGATCAATGTGTCTACAAAAACATTTCTTAGAATGCTTCCAAACAGTGGCAAGACACCCGCCATTAACTCCACCATTAGGGGCTGTAGTCAGCCTTGATCTGCTTCAAAGACGACACGCAATTCTATCCACAGGACCATGTAACTAATAATGATAACCATTCTATCCATAGGGTCCGGGGTAGAGTAGGTCTTCAGGAACCCATGCTTGCGTTAAAAGGCGACTATGCTTGTCGTAAGAGACGACTAACGGGATCGGGTGGTCAGGCTCACAGACTTGGTTGAAGCATTTCATCGATCCCAGTTGCGTGGATCGATGTCCATGATATCAATCACAGGATTGTCGGATCCAGACTCGATTATTTACAGACCACCGTCATATAACTAGAATATTGCTGAGTGCGGGGTAAAACAACAAACATTCCAACCAAAGGATCACGTAACTAATAATAATAACAAACAATCTCACAGTCGAGACCGAAGTCTACGAGTTTGTTTCTTAATACTATTAGATACATTGTCCTGTACTCTTTCAAGGAAAACCACAATCATGTGCAGAATGAGTAAGTGAGTGAGTATGGTTTTACGTTTTTAGCAATATTCCAGCAATTCTCACCTAAATTTTGCGCATTGAACTTTTGTGGGAAACGAACCCTAACCTGCAGTGTAATGAGCGAACACTTTAACCACTAGGCTACCCCATCATCCTTCTTGTATAGAGCGGTAATGGTGAACAGAGGCAGTGAAGCCATGAGCGGTATTTCCCCAAACCTAGCCACACATTTCACTCTTGTAAAGTGCTGTCATACATCTCCGATCGCTAAACATGGAAGCCCTGTTCCGACTAATCTGAACACTCACAGACCCAGTCGGGGATCTTATCGTTAAACCCATCATGAATAGTGTACAAGTATTCACCTAGCTACTCCTATGTACGCTCATGTGTCTCAACAGTCTTACGTACGACTGCCAAGTAATGGGGGCACACGTCGCCGCATCGAGCTGGTGGGAAATGCATCGGTCGCAGGTTCCGTTTTACGTATAACCTATATTTAGCGATCGGGGATTTCCCCGATTTCCACATGGAACCTGGGTTCCGTGTCTCTCCGTTGCGGCCGAACTGCCTCCATCCGCCACCACTTACATGTAGTTCCTGATGGAGTCGACGAAGATGACGACACACCTCTGGCCCTCCTTCAAGCCGAAGTCCTTCATTGCCTGGATGCCATAGTGCAGAGCTGTACCACTGCTGCCACCTGGAACCACATTTAGAACTTGTACACATGAACCACATTTATAACGTGTACATGACATGAATGACATTTAAAACTTGTACACCACGTGAACCACATTTAGAACTTGTACACATGAACCACTTTAATAAGATGTACACCACGCCAACCACATTTATACCTTGAACACCTTGCGAACCATATAAATATCTTGTACACAACATTAACTACATTACCAATACAGTCGGAATGTGACTGTGACTCGTGGCCATCGTTAAGGTATACAGTCAGATTGTGACTGTGACTCGTGGAAATTGCTGAGGCCTACAGTGAGATTGTGGCTATGACAAGCGGCTATCGTGGAGGCCTACAACTAGTTTGTGACTGTGACTAGCGGCAACTGTGGAGGCCTACAGCGAGATTGTGATTGTGACAAGCGGCCATCGTGGAGGCCTACAGCGAGATTGTGACTGTGACTAGCGGCAACTGTGGAGGCCTACAGCGAGATTGTGATTGTGACATGCGGCCATCGTGGAGGCCTACAGCCAGATTGTGACTGTGACTAGCGGCAAGCGTGGAGGCCTAGAGCGAGATTGTGACTGTGACTCATGACCATCGTGGAGGCCTACAGTCAAAATGTGACTGGGTCTCGTGGCCAGCGTTAAGGCATGCAGGCAGATTGTGACTGTGACTCACCTACAAGAAGTCCCTCCTCTCTGACGATCCTGCGAGCCATCTGGAACGACTCCTTGTCTGCCGCCTTATACCATTTGTCCACAAACTGGGGGATATACACACATATTACCAATACCGCTCACACCTTCAGTTGTATTAACTTTTCGATACTTCACATGTATTATAGCCGCTAAAGACTGATTGGTTATCAATAAGATGATGTAACACTGCTGCTTTCTTGACAATACAAAATGACTTCACATATCATTGATGACCTCTCGACCTGATGACGTTGCATCAACAACATCGATTTCAGCGTTTTGACATTTTCATGTCTTTCTTCAGGTTCCGTCAAATGAGGGCAATGGATAATATTTCCGTTGATCCTCATAATTCAGACCTTATTCATCAATTGTTTTGGAAATATCAAAAACGTCTTTTGAAGAATTAATCAAATCTGTAAGTTTCATTCGTTTTTTTTTTATAATTGACAGGGCTACACTTGAATAGATAAAGACCCCTACCGAGGGTGTTTAACTGACCTGTCTGTCACACGCTGTCGGGACGAAATCCTTCCCGATTCCCTCAACCTCGAACTTCTTTCCCTTCTGGTTCAACTCTGCTGGCTCAGCAATCAGCGAACCCTCGGGATCCACCGCTACTATCTGACAACACAGAAACACTATCAAGTGCAAAGGGCCGCTGCAGCACCTGTTGGCATAGTGCATCATTCAATGCCGCATCCCCCAGCGGAGAATTCTTTACAATGCTGTATTTAATAACAGGGAAACAACGGGGCGTTTGCAAGGACATGCCCCAACTTTAAGATATTACCCTGTTACCAAAGTAACTTATGAGAGATACTATATTCAAGTGAAATCTGCTGAGGTGTTTTTTTATCCTTTACCCACCCTCTCCAGCTTCAAACCGCACGCTCAGCTTCAAACCTGCAATCCTAAGCTACAAACCCGTACCTGTCAGCTTCAAACTCGCACCCATCAGCTTCAAACCCGTACCCTTAGCTTCAAAATAGCAAGAATCAGCTTGAAACTCGCACCCATCAGCTTCAAACCCGCACTCGTAAGCTTCAAATCCATACCTATCAGCTTCAAATCCACACCCATCAGCTTCAAACCCGCACCCCTAAGCTTCAAACGCGTACCTACCAGCTTCAAACTCGCTCCAATCAGCTTCAAACTCGCTCCAATCAGCTTCAAACCTCCACTAATCAGTTTTATCCGGGCACCCCCCAGCTTCAAACCAGCATCCATTAGCTCCAACCCTCTACACCTAAGCGTCAACCCCTCACCGTCTGCATTGTCTCTTACCTTACAAACCCGCACCCCTCAGCATCAAAGTCGCACCCCCCAGCTTTGACTCTCACCTTACAGTTGGGGCACCGCTCCTTAATCTTCCTGGCCACGCCCGTCAACGTGCCCCCCGTACCGGTGCCTATGACCACCATGTCAAGCTTGTCTGGGAAGGAGAAGAAGGATTAGATTCTACTGACAGGGCTCCATCACGGCTTCATCAACACTGGCATTGCCCCGTCAAAGTACATGTATTGAAATCAAGCATCGTCTAATGCTTTATTTGCCGGTATTCTTATAGCATCCATATTTTCACTTACTATCACAGGCATCTAAGATCTCCTCCGCCGTCCCGTCGTAGTGAGCAAGTGGGTTGCTGGGGTTGCGATACTGTAACAGAGGTGAGGTGAGGTGAGGTAAGGTGAGGTGAGGTGAGGTGAGGTGAGGTGAGGTGAAATTGGGTTTAACGTCGCGTCCAAGATTATTGCACTTATATAGCGACGTGCATGCACGTGTATGTGTGTGTGTGGCTGCTTGTACTAGTCCGGACTGATGCCGATTTATAGTGCTAGCACACTGAGATACCATGCCGCAGTTTAACATGAATACCCCACTCAGACACAGTATACTGACTCCGAGCCGACCGGTCCTTGTTTTAGCCCCTTAATGCCGAGCGCCAAACAGGGTAACAACAAGTACAATCTTTTAACGGCTTTTTGTATGACGCGACCCGGGATCGAACCCTGGACCACGGAGGCGGTCCTGTAACAGAGGTCATTCAGAGTCAACTGAAAATTATGTGATCGTGTTTAGTACATGATTCATTGTTTGGTTGTTTGTTGTTTAACTCCGCAATCAGCGATATTACAGCTGTATAGCAGCGGTCTGTAAATAATCAAGTCGGACCAGACAATGCAATGATTGACATCACGAGCATCGAACCACGCATTGGGATCCAATGCCATGCATCAACCATGTCAACGAGCCTGACCAGCAAGCATAGGTTGCCGGGGGCTTGACTCTAACCTGGAACTCATTTTAACATATGACGGACACCTCTTCCATCTGATATTTTCTGTTTCATTTATCATTCGTAATATGTACCCTTGTGAATAGCATCATCTTCCCGAGGCAAGAGAGTTAACTGTCTATAAAAGTCCAGTTTCCACCGTTGCCGAACTAGGCTGGAATAACTGGGCTCGATCGTAGCGCCACCAGTGGCTATTACCAGTTATGCCACTTCTAAGCCTCCCCTATGGGCCAATCAGATTCCACCTCTCGTATCACTTGCGTTTGCTTCACACAAAATGGTGGCGCCCGTTCAGAACGATCTGATCGATAATCAAGATCTATATATTGTGATAAAACGGGTCTTACATCGCCAAATGCATCAAATCACGTGAGCACCTTGATTAAAAACATGAAAAGATTTGGAAAATATCTGCTGACAACGAGTTGGCGGTACAGATGCTTTGCAAATCCTGCAATCGACCGAAATCTCCACGACAGTTTACGAACCGGATTTCAATTTCGGTGCGCGATTTTGATTGGACTATGCATAGACTCGTTGGTCCAGCCAAAATGTAACTCCATGATACAGCCTAGATCGGCAAGGGTGGAAACTGGACTTTTAAAGTCAGTTAACTCTCTTGCCTCGGGAAGATGGAATAGCATGTGTACATTTAAAATGAGTTTGAGCTAAAATAATTCTGATGACGTTTCGTAATAACGTTTACTTTAATGAGTCGCCAATCGTCGCCATTGTATTTAATACATATTTCTCACAAACTGACATTGCGGTTTATTTCGTTCAATACAAACAGTATAAGGAAAGTGCATCCAAATAAGATGGTTACTCGCTATCTTTGCACTGCACGAGCGCTATGATTTGACGAGGCATATTTCGAGCCTTTTTCTGTCTTAACAGCGAGTCGACTCGTGAGCACGTGAAAGAACCGACACCAGAAAGTAACTGACGCATTAACCGCGTCATGCTTGACATGATCGGCATTTTAGCTCACCTGGTCTAAGAGGAATGAATTAGGGATTTCCTCCATGAGCCGTCTGGCCACGCCCACGTGAGACTCGGGCTGGTCGAAGGGTATCCCGTTTGCGGTTCGGTAGATTTCTGCACCCAGCGCTTTCATCGTGGCTACCTGGAGACAGATAGGTAAGCATAGGTGAAGACAGGTAATCACAAGTGGACACAAGTAAACACAGGTAATCATAGGTGAACACAGGTAAACAGGATAGCCAAGCTCACATGCACATCTCGTATTTGGCGATCGCCTCTTCCTAATTTGATATTACTATTTTGTTTGATTTGTAATTAACATTTTGTGGATGAGGTGAGTGTAACACTGCTCTCAACGTTATTTCAGTTGTATCACGGCGTTAAGGGAGCGAACCCAAAGTGATGCAGATCAGTGACGTTACCCACTTCGGTGACTCCAACAGGCATGTGTATGGTGCGGACAAACCATGAATCATTAACAGGGTGAATCTTGGATTCGGACCAACAAATCATCGAATTCGGCCAAAATCAAGGGGCGTAACTCTGTAGAGTTTACTGAGATGTCCGATATATGCTTGTCCCATAAAGCTCCCATAGTATAACACGGGACGCAACTCTGTAGTATTCCCATAGTATAACATCGAAATTCACATAAAACAGTTATTCACGTTATCTGAAGCTGAGCTTCAATCTCCATATGCATCAAGAAACAAAAAGAAGAAGAATAGCGTTACCTTCTCCAAACTCATGCGCTGAGGCATGACGATGATACAGCGGTAACCCTTGACAGCGCACACCATGGCAACGCCGATACCTGAAAGGGAGATAACTTTTGACTTCACCAACAGTTATAATCCATATAACTTTACGTGAATATTAGGTCGTGCGTCCTCTATTACATATGTCATACGAGTTGTGATTAAAACAGTCAGATTGTATACCAGTCTTGTCTTGTTAACGACCAAACCCTCTTATTTGTATAAATACACCAGGGCCCACTTGCACAAAGCGATCTTAGCGCTAAGACTATTGTAAGCCTGTGCTAAAGTATGGGAGTTACGATCATCTTAGCGCTAAGATCGCTTTGTTCAAGTGGGCCCAGGAGTAAAAGTATCTCTCTCAGGACATCCTCGGTGGTCTAGTGTTAGAGCGTCCGCACGGAGAGAGGAAGGTCCGGGGTTCGATCCTCGGCCGTTTAATACCAAAAAGACGTTAAAAGATGGTACTTGTTGTTATCCTGCCTGGCGCTCGGCATAAGGGGCTAATACTGACTCCGAGCCGACCAGTCCTTGTTTTAGCCGTGAGTAACAACAAATACCATCCTTTTACGTCTTTTGGTATGACGTGAGCGGGGATCGAACCCCGGACCTTCCGCTTCCCGGGCAGACGCTCTACCACTGGACCATGGAGGCAGTCCTTGGACAAGAGATAAAATATGCAAGTATAGCACAATGCATCATATCAACAAAATTATTCAGGAGGTTGGGATTTATTTGAATATTGCAATTCCAACGTCAAATTCAGATTGGAGTCAAAGATAGGTGATATATGATCTGTTTCGTTGTCACATTCAGATGTAATAGAATTTAGTCGAAGGGGAGACAACCAACCAGTGTTTCCAGACGATGGTTCAATGATTGTCGCCCCTGGTTTAATGAAACCTTTCTCCTCAGCATCCTCGATCATGCGCAGTGCGATTCTGTCCTTAAGACTCCCACCGGGTTGAAAAAACTCACACTTGGCAACTGTAAACAGAAAGATGGGCGTGGTTAGTCGCCTGGCCTGGTCGCTACAATACATCAATATAATTCATTACAGGCTAGATGATTCATAGATACATTGTTTACTTGACACACACTGATAAACTACGGAGACATATTTCATTAACATTAATGTATGGGACTTACTGCCAACACATCTTCATAACACGGCAAACTAAATCACTTTATTGCTAAGCTCACATTTCACTAAGTACAAAATGCGAAAATGCGACGAAAATGCGAGAAGGGCGAGAATCAAAAGGCAGCATAGAGTCTCGTTATGTCGACCTGGGCCCACTTGCACAAAGCGATCTTAGCGTTAAGATGATCGTAACTCCCATACTTTAGCATAGGCTTACAATAGTCTCAGTGGGCCCTGGACTTAAACTAGGCTTCGATTTAATCTGAAGTCGAAAACTGAAGATACGGGACCTCTGTATCAGTTATTGGTAGTTCGACAAAATAAGGTCGACATATCGGGAGTCTACTCTTCACTAAAACAAAGATCGACACATTCATAGATACATTGAATATAGCTATCAGTTACCTAGTAATAACGCATAGAAAGCTAAAAATACCAAACATGATACTAGATATGCTATACATTAGAATATCAGATACTAGATAAACACTAGATATACAAAACACTAGTGTGGTTTATTACTGTGGGAATTCGGTGAAAATCTAAATCCACCGCTAGCGTGTATAGCATAGTTCAATCCCTGTAATGACGTCATAAAGCGCAGACCAATCACCACAGTCCACGTCATATACTAACGTATTTCACACTTAAGTCCCTCGCTCTTGCCGATGTTGTTGAGTCTGATCATGGGAGTGCCGGCAATGTTCTCCAACACGCTATTGAGAATCTTCGGCCGAACTGGTTTGGGACTGTGGTGAAATAAACATCAATGCAGGAACATTGTACAAAATCATAGTTATCTACCCTTTGGAAGAGTTAACTGCCCCTTAGAAGAGTTAAATGCCCCTTAGAGGGCATCGATGCTGTGCACGTGTTACTTTACACTGTCGTTGACTATTTCAGCCACATCGGCCTGAAGTGTGTAATCATGCAAGCAAACCAGTGGGCGATAGAGTGAAGGTCACTCTATGATGCTAGCAGAGTTATCTTCCCTGATGGTCATCCATCAAATACTGTTTATACTCGGTCATTGTGACCACATGATTCTTCGTTTAGTTGATTCAAACACTGGTTAATTCTCTTTATGGCAAACTGATCGTGAGCTCCCCTGGGCAGATAACATGAACCAATAGCAAAGGTGAGGTGAAATTGGGTTTAACGTCGCGTCCACGATTATTGCACTTATATAGCGACGCCGACTGATGCCGATTTATAGTGCTAGCACACTGAGATACCATGCCGCAGTTTAACATGAATACCCCACTCAGACACAGTATACTGAACCCGAGCCGACCAGTCCTTGTTTTAGCCCCTTAATGCCGAACGCCAGACAGGGTAACAACAAGGACCATCTTTTAATGTCTTTTGGTATGACGCGGCTGGGGATCGAACCCCGGACCTTCCGCTCTCCGGGCGGACGCTCTACCATTAGACCACGGAGGCGGTCCCAATAGCTAAGAGTCGCAGACTGCATGTATATGCCACTGTTAGTACCTGCATGCGACACCCCCGTGTAGAAAGTCACACTACACGACGTGGGTGGAACGACGTCAACAAAGCATATAACAGATTAACAAAGAAAACAAACACGTTAGTACTTGTCATCTTCCCGAGACAAGAGAGTTAACTGACTTTAAAAGTGCAGTTTCCACCCTTGCCAAACTAGGCTGGAATTCCTGGGCTCGATCATAGCGCCACCGGTGGTTATTACGAGTTATGTCCCGTATAAGCCTCTTCTAAGGACCAATCAGATTACATCACTTGCATTTGTTTCAAACAAAATGGCTGCACCCAGTCGATATCTGATCGATAATCAAGATCTATATTGTGATAAAACGGGTCTTACATCGCGAAGTGCATCAAATCACACGAGCACCTTGATTAAAAACATGAAAAGGTTTGGAAAACATCTGTTGACAACGAGTTGGCGGGGCACCTGCTTTGCAAATACTGCAGTCGACCGAAATCTCCACGACAGTCCACGAACCGGATTTCGATTTCGGTGCGCGATTGTGATTTGACTATGCATAGACTCGTTAGTCCAGCCAAAATGTAACGCCATAAAGCCAGCCTAGTTCGACAAGGGTGAAAACTGGACTTTTAGTCAGTTAACTCTCTTGTCCCGAAAAAATGGTACTTGTCGACGTTCTTTCAGCTCCCGTGAATATATACGGCCGATTTGTGATAGTGACGCGTGTCTATTTTTACTGGCCCACATAAGTATCAAAACATAGAACTGAGTTGAAGTCAAACGACCCTACTCCGACCCTGCCGGATATTGAAGCAATGTGACGAGTAGAAGCCGCATGGCTTAGGGTGCCGATGTAATCTAAACGTTCATTGGTCAGCGATCTCGCTGGTTTCTCTCGCTTGAAACAAACTGCGACGACACATTTCGAATTTACGGATGGAGGAAAGTATACAGACCCTTTGAAGTAAGCAGATGTGGTTAAAGAAGACGACATAAGTTATGTGATCTTATTAACATAGTTAAAAGATGGCTAGACTCTGGCAGGTTGACTGTAACTGTTCGATCAAGTTTGATCAAGTTTGATCCCCATCTTTCCATCTGCTTCTTCATGGTCCAACCCACTCACTCACTCACTCACTCCATCACTCATCCGTCATCCGTCATCCAGGATCAGTTATTTCATCATTTCGACCCGTGAAGGTCCGGGGTAGAATAGGTCAGCAACCCATGCTTGACGTAAAAGGCGACTAAAGGGATCGGGTGGCAGGCTCGCTGACTTGGTTGATGCATGTCATCGTATCCCGGGGTGGTCGGGTAGCCTATTGATTAAAGCGTTCGCTCGTCACGCCGAAGACCCGGGTTCGATTCCCGACATGGGTACAATGTGTGAAGCTCATTTCTGGTGACCCCCGCCGTGATATTGCTGGAATATTGCTAAAAGCGGCGTAAAACCATACTCACTCACTCATCGTATCCCAATTGCGTGGATCGATGCTCATGATCTCAATCACTGGATTGTTTGATCCAGACTCGATTATTTTACAGACCGCCGTCATATAGCTGGAATATTGCTGAGTACGGCGTTAAACAACAAAAAAGAAGAGGAAGGATAGAGTGTCTGTACGGAGAGCGGAAGGTCGATGGTTCGATAGTCATATCAAAAGAAGTTAAAAGATGGTACTTGTTGTCACCCAGCCTGGTGCTCGGCGTTAATACAAGGACTGGTCGTCTCTGAGTCAGTATACTGTGTGGGGTATCAACGTTAAACTGTGGCATGGTATAAACCCCATTTCACCTAACCTCACCTCACCTCAAATTTTGTTATGTGTGTCAGCCAGGTAATGATTACAGTACTCGCACAGCGACAGTGTCTAAAGATCATGCATGCCATGAATTACGCCTAGACCTAGGAACCAGAGCATAGTCGACCTTTAACCGTGTTCGCGCAACGAGTTGGGTTAACTGACTACAGTAGACTACGGTTAAAACGAACACGCTTATAACGAACTGACAGATATAACGAACTTACTTTTTGGTCCCGACTATTTGCTGTAGTTATGCTGTATAAATGCTTATTACGAACTACGGTTATAACGAACTACAATTAGTAGTCTCTTTGAGTTCGTTATAACCGTAGTTTACTGTTATAATATATTTCTGCATCCCATATTAAGTTGAGACATGATGCTGGAACTGAAATACTGTCTGAAGCGGCGTTAAAATCTACATCAGTATTTCGCGGCCAGTGCACCTCGACGGCTTATATAGGTTTCTTGTGAGTCATTTCATTTCGGTCAGCGTTCGCGAAAGGTCGTTCTGGCGTGACCTGTAATGGGATGTCCTCAGATCTTTGTTTAACGGTAGCGAGGAGTAGAATCTGATTTTAATGAGGTTGTCCTTTACACCGACGTCATGGTGATATTCAATGACAGTTACGAGATAAAAGGGAATGAAGCGGAAGCCTTAGTACGAATGTCCAATAGGGCCATATCAGGTTTTTAATCTCGCTTGAACATGCAAGATGTTAATTTGAAAATGACAAGGCCCTTATGGGCCTCCGTACTCGCGCAATAAAAATGTAATTAACTCGAATGGTCAACATTGTTTGATACTATCATAATATTTCAACATGACTTGTTCTCTCTTTTTATTATAGTATCTTGAAATTTTTTCAAATGGTACCATTAAATTTCAACATGTTATCTTTAATTGTCAACAGTATTTTATCATTTCAAATATTCATAAGTCTTGAACTTTCAACATGTTATCGCGAATTTTTAAATTAGGGTATTGAGTTGTCAAGAGAAAAAAGTTGATGTGTTGCAAAATCAAGATACTACAATCAAAGTTTAAAGATAATCAAGAGACTAAAATCGAAATTTAAAGATAAATCGTTGAAAGATTTAACATTCATTCTCTTGATATTTGAAACTAGTATCGATTATTCCTTATTTGTCCAAATATTCAAAAAATATTACGAGATGGCCCTTATGGTGTTCCATATGTTTTACAAGTAGAAATCAACGCACAACACTCGCCGAGAGGCGCAGGGAAATAATAGATAGTCAGAGCCTTATGTGAATACATATGGTATAATTATGTCAGTAATATAACACTTGCATGTAAATACAGTGTCTATGAATACAATGAATAAATATATGCCAAGGACTGGCAGTTTCAATAAAGGTCTGTGTGACTGACGACACACATACCATGTGACACAAACACTTAAATCTTCCCATCTCTACGTTTTAGACATCTTAGACTCGGTACCGTACTGGCCCGAATCACTTCATTACCGTCGTAAGGGATGACAAGGAGGATTGGGTGGTCATCCTCGGTAACTGTTTGTCAGTATCGGGTTCGTGTTGTCACGATTCCATTATATACTGGACGCCATGATAATGATGGAATACTGTCGTGTTTTAAGAGGCGGCTATGTTTGTCATAAGAGGCGACTAACGGGATCGGGTGGTCAGGCTCGCTGACTTGGTTGATGCATAACATCATATCCCAATTGCGTGGATTGATGCTCCTGATGTCAGTCACTGGATTGTCAGGTCCAGACTCGATTATTTACAGACCGCCGTCATATAGCTGGAATATTGCTGAGTCCGGTGTTAAACAACAAACCAAACCCTTCAGCAGTAACATTGATGTACATTTAAACCCTACATTTAAACAACAAACAAACAAAACTGACGTGTCCAAATGGAAAACGACTCACCTCAAAATGATATATTAATTGCTAAAACTTATTGACGGCACAAGAAGATAACAAGGAGCGGACGTCGACTACGACGTTGTTGCATCAGCTGCAGCAGCAGCATCGCAACAGAGACTCTGATTATCTATTAATGATAATATACCCATGTGTAGAATTAAAAGAAAGGGACTAAACGTGACATCCCAATTGTCTCCCTTTGACATGACGTCACAGGTTACTATGGGAACAATTACTGACGAATAGTTACTCAGTAATAAAATTCAGTAATAAAACAACTGTCTGCGTGTACATGTCTCACCATGACTTGTTGGAATGGGGGTTGTCCTTTGATCTGCCGTACGTGCAACGACTGGGCAAGTCTGGTCGCCTCCAGTTCCTGTATGGATTGAACTCTGCGCCTTCTTTGTTTATTGGGCAGCCATTTTGTACACCGTTTTGACTTCCGGTCTGCATGTTTACCTGAAACGACACGTGATCTGGATTAAACAATGAGCACGTAGATGTACATTTAACAAAAGCAAAACAAATCTTTAAAAATCAATTCAGGAACATTGGACAGCAATTCCCTGACGGTTGCTCTTAACACCAGTGGATCGGCATTGCGGTATTGGTTGAGTTACTCCTGAGATAGCGTGTTCATAATATCAACCACTGGACTGTCTGTCCTAACTGGATTGGGTAGCCTAGTGGTTAAAGCGTTCGCTCGTCACGCCGAAGACCCAGGTTCGATTCCCGACATGGGTACAATGTGTGAAGCCCATTTCTGGTGTCCCCCGCCGTGATGTTGCTGTAATATTGCTAAAAGCGGCGTAAAACCATACTCACTCACTCACTCCTAACTGGATTATTTACAGGCTCCCGTCACACTAAGGAGAGTGGCGTTAAAAGGCCAAAGGCCAGGACGTGCCTCTTTAAGCAGCGTACCAATGCCCCAGTAACCTTGTCATTCTAGCCCGATAACTATGCGGCTAAACACAACGTTTATCTCGCCGGTCTTTGCCTCGGCCTATTAGCCTCGTTATCGATAACTAGACTTACACACTGTCGTCACCAACCCTGCCAAGTCAGCATCGTGAAAATAGGACGTCGACAAAGAGGCAATCATAGTTGCTCCTTATCTGATACTTTATAGCTGATACATTAAGATGACATACTCATTTCACGTGACATATGTACCGTAAATCCTCGAAAAAGCGCACGTCAAATACATTTCGGGGGGTTCTTTGACTTGTGTTCCGTCTTTCAGAGAGGCTTTTCGGTGACTATTTTCAATTTTTCAAATACTATCATCTACTCTCAATTTATCAGGCGTTATAAGGGAATGTATTCAAAATTAAATCTTAATTCATTCAGCCATATCACCTTCGCGCTTTACACTTGACAAAAAATTGAAAAAATAACCCTTCTTGAAAAAATACGTTCGACATTGTCACAATATTTTTAAGAAATGATTACTGTTTGCCCCCTAATGCTTCATCATATATGTGCCTATTTATTTATATACGTTTATTTAAGGATTTACGGTATAACAGGGATTTGCCCTATAACGATGGACATCTGTATCACGTGCAACTAACGTTAGTATTCATGTACTTACGATACAAAATGATGGTTCAAAAATATTAAAAAAACGTTTATTTATTTGGGTAGTATGTAATTTGGGAAGCAATACTGATACTTCGACATTGATTCCAAACATACCCCTGTTGTACAATATCAGATTTTATAAAAGTTAATTATGTCAGGTTATCAGTTTATCAACAGCAACACGCAATTCTCAACCACAGAACATTATGTCGGGACCAGTAAAAGTAACAATGTAGCATCTGTTCGTACTAATGAATCCATATAGCCTACATTATTCAAACGACAGCGAATTGAAAATGATGACCACTTAATCCATTGCCATGTTATCAGCATACTGTCCACGTAGATACATATATGGCATTAATATGCATTAATATACATCATACTTCTCATAGATTTATTCTTGCTGAATAGAAAATAGTACAAAATTAGTTTGCATCATTATTTAATCACTATATTATACTCTACCGGGCAAACAAAAGTATAAATTGGAAATTGGATTTGACCAACAATTACAACCGTTATCAAAACGTTACTTGGGCGAGTACAGTCGCCTAACTACTGCAAAAACTTAAAACCCAAAGCACAGTTATGATACCCGTATCAAATACGCCACAATCCAATAATAAAAAATAATTTCTTGTTTGTTTCATTTTTAGCCGCCATCAAACGTGCAGTTTATAACATTGTCTGCAATAAACATGATTTAACAACGGTTGCTGTTGACTTGTTTCATAGATCTCGTTGCCTCCGGCGACTATCATGAATTGTGTGAGCGAATATCATGAATAGTATGCAAGTGATTCCATTATATTTGACAAGTTTCTTTACGAGAGAAGTGACATTATTCTACCTCTAAATCATTCACAACATGAAATCTACAATTTACAAATTCCACATGTGCTGAAAGATGATCTCTGCTATACTCACTGTGTATGTTCCGATCCGATCTTGGGGAATGATCTGCCTTATCACGCTGCCGGCGTATTTATACACCACCTCACTATCTGTAGTGCCCGGATGTGACATTGGCTGCGCTTTGGGACCTCCCACCCCTTTTGGGTAATCTTCCACTCCGAGTTGTTGCGTTTTGGAGAGACGTTCTGTTTTTGTGAACACTCCTTGGTGTTTCAAGGCCTTCTGAAGACATGGTGCAAGGTGGTTCTTGAACTTTGTTCACACAGCATACAGCCGGGGTTTTTCCTCTACACGACTGATACCAGTACTGAACATACAGTCATGACAAACATGTCTAGAACATCAAAGTTTAATTCTTGTTTTTGTCTGTGTGTTGATGTCAAGAGCAAGACTAAGCTCAACAAGTATGCTTTTTAACAATCTCGAAATGTCTGAATGTGTGTCTTATTCATACTATGTCCTAGTGGCAACGCTTATTATTCACCGCTTGTAATTAGTCTGTTCTCTGTCGCTTGACGTTGAATTTTTTCATCTGGCCATATTGCATTGTATCGCATCCCTCACCAGTGTTGCGATCATGGAGTTGCCATGGTAACGACCCTTTGTGTGACTACAGTCCGACTGCCTACGTCTACACAATACAGGCCGACGGCGTGTAGGCGTACAAATCTGCCTGCAGCGTGGGCACCGTTGACAACATGTGATTCTAAAAACTTGGATTATGTGTTCTGAGGAGAAAACTAACTACAGGAATACGGTTTGGAATACAGGAATCACAGCATGGCGTAGCTTTAAAAAATCCTTATTCAGAGCATTAAGACATTCTCTACCATTGGATGTTTACATAACTGAACCGATTCTTGACCAAGGTATATATTTTGTTCACTGCAGTACGAAGACTGGCTCTACGACAAGCTGACAGGACTAGGTGTTAAATCTGTTTGTCCTTCATGTGAATCCCGAATTGCAGGCAGGAAAGGCTGCAAGCACCCATGTTTGCCGCAATGGGGGAGGGTTGCAATGGCTGACTGTTTGTCATACTGACCCAGACTTTATTATTTACAGGTCGCTGTGACTTAGCCGGAACAGTGCTGACTAAGCAAACTGTATTAAGTTGTAGGGTTTGTTTTTGTTTTTGTTTTTGTTTGTGATTTCTACTGTGACAGTCATCCCACGTACTGAAAATGCAGTTATGCATTATTGTGCATTATCATTCATTATCGTGGGTTATCATATGTTATCTGCTGTGTTATAACCGTTTGCCGTCGCGGTGAGCTCTCTGTTGACACGTCGGGGTGTTACGCAGGCAGCACATGAGATACTACAGGGATTATTGAACTGTATCTGTATCTTATCTGTAGTATCTCGATCCCTTTGTGTAGGGATTTCGTACGCGGTAACTTAGGGATGGATTTGGGGGTAGTCGGGGATAAGGGAGGGAGGGGATGTAGGTCTTGGGTAAATGAAGAGAAATTTGTTTCGGGATTGGGTTCAGGGCAAAAAGCGAGTGAGTGTTGTTTAACGCCGCTTTCAAGAACATTTCAGTTGTAACTGCTGGCATGTCAGCAGGGTTCATAATCGCGACACAATTGGTTACCTCGGGAACAGTCAGCAGCTCCTGGCACGGCCAAGGAGGACAACTCTGCATTACGAATTGCGGGGCCCTGTACCCGGGAGTCCTGAAGTTGGCCTCTCTCTCTCTCTCTCTCTCTCTCTCTCTCTCTCTCTCTCTCTCTCTCTCTCTCTCTCTTTTTTTTTTCTCTCTCTTTCCCTCTCCCTCTCTCCCTCTCTTTCCCTCTCCCTCTCTTTCTCTCTCTCTCTCTCTCCCTCTCTCTCCCTCTCTTTCCCTCTCTCTATCTCTCTCTCTCTCTTTCCCTCTCTCTCTCTCTCTCTCTCTCTCTCTCTCTCTCTCTCTCTCATCAAAAACGATGTCTGTTTATTAGTTCTGATGTCTGTTTATTAGTTCTGATGTCTGTTTATTAGTTTTGATGTCTGTTTATTAGTAAATACGAAACGCCAATACCAGAGAAGCACCAATCACTATTATCCGCCGAAACATATCCCATTGGCGTAAAAGTAAACATAGCGGTGAAAACTATACGAATGGATCACAAAAAAAAACAGTCATGACACCATTTGTGGGCGAAAAGGGTAAGCATGCCCTGACCTCCTGGCATCAAAACATGTTAAGATTTGACCGCAATGTGTGGCTAGTTAGTTCCGGCCGAAGACAATATCCACAGACTACAATGATGATTGGAGGGGCTCGGCAGAGATAAGACTGATGGTCGAGTGGTGGAAAGTTACCCGGTTGTGTGGAGATTCCATTCGGTCAACGGTCATACGTGCGCGCCTGACACTGCATTCTTTATACAGGCTGTTGCTGTGATCCCGCACCAGAACGAATTCATCCCGTTTTCTTTGTGTCTAGCATTTTTACCAAAATAATACTTTTCTAAATGAACTTATTTTACATGCTTTTGACGCACTCGTGTTGATTCAGGTCGGTTTGACCTAATTCTTAAACAAACGTATTGTCAGTGTGACAAAACATACACTTTGTTCTTGTAAATAAGGGGTGGTCGGGTAGCCTAGGGGTTAAAGCTTTCGCTCGTCACACCGAAGAACCGGGTTCGATTCCCGACATGGGTGCAATGTTTGAAGCCCATTTCTGGTGTCCCTAGCCATGATATTGCTGGAATATTGGTAAAAGCGGCGTAAAACCATACTCACTCGCTCTTGTAAATAAGCCAAACTGTCTCTTGATCCACAGCTCGTTTTCTTCAGAAGACCCAGATGGTCCAGGGATATTTGTTTGGGAACATAGTTCCGGGGCATTGTCTCTTTGACTTTGTAACGGTGTCATAGGCTGATAAAATATCTGATTAGATATTTTTGCTTGTTTGAAGGTTAGAAAATTTCCTTCTAGATTCTAGCGGAGTGTTGTTTTGACCAGGTAGGGGATATAAGTTGAAAACTTGATACCTATGAAAGTAACGTACTTCTTCTTGGACCTTGCCTTCTGTTAAAAAGCTGACATGTTTAATGTACATACGATTGGAGAGAGAGTGTGTGTGTGTGTGTGGGGGGGGGGGGGGGGGGGGGGCGTGTGAGAGAGAGATAAGGTGAGAAAGAGATCTATCTAGAGACTAAGTAGGGGTTATGTGAGTGAGTATATATTATTATTATTATTTTTAGTTTATCAATAGTAGTAGTAGTAGTAATTGTAGTAGTAGTAGTAGTAGTAGTAGCTATAATAATGTGTCTGGCGTCAACTTTTGGGTCAGACAGGGGTGTGTTTTGTCACCGACGTTTTTCCAATATATGTTATTGACTTTGCAAAGGTAACAGACAACTTACGAGGTGGTATTGAATTTATGGTTCTATGTTATAGGTACTGCCTTTGTAGCTCCCGACAGACAATTACAGCGTATGTTAGACTGTGGTGCTGCGTGGTGTTCACAGTGGCGTGTTGGGTGAAGAAGAAGAAGCATATTTTTGTTAATTTTATTATAAGTCACGTGGTGTTGAGGAACAATTCCGTGACAGAGGGTTTTATTGTTACTCTGCAGATAAAATACCCTTCATCAAAGAGGATGTTAAAGCGTTCGCTTGTCACGCCGATGACCCGAGTTCGATTCCCGACATGGGTGCAATGTGTGAAGCCCATTTCTGGTGTCCCCCGCTGTGATATTGCTGGAATATTGGTAAAAGCGGCGTAAAACCCCACTCACTCACTCTTGTAAATAAGCCAAACTGTCTCTTGATCCACAGCTCGTTTTCTTCAGAACAATCCCAGATGGTCCAGGGAACGAGTTCTTTGTTTGGGAACATAGTTCCGTGGCATTGTCTCTTTGACTTTGTAACGGTGTCATAGGCTGATGAAATATCCGATTAGATATGTTTGCTTGTTTGAAGGTTAGAGAATTTCCTTCTAGATTGCTGTGTTGCTCAAGGGTTGCTGAAGACCTATTCTAGCCCGGATCTTCACGGGTCACTGCTGAGGGAACGACCACTACATATTTTCATATATTGGGGTGTTTGTGTGTGTGTGTGTGTGTGTGTGTGTGTGTGTGTGTGTGTGTGTGTGTGTGTGTGTGTGTGTGTGTGCGCGCGCGCCTTGCATTTTTGTGTAACAGTATATTTGATCAAGAAAACATATCTAACTCCATTCACTCACAAAAAGTTCAGTGGAATGTTTCTGATTACTGCTCTTAGTTTGTTGAACGAGCTAAAATATAAAAAAAATCAATAATATTCTATTGAATATCACTGACATAGAAAATAGATATGGGAATTCAAATTGTTATCGCGCCAGATGCCAAGGTTATCTCATCTCACTTTTGAGGAAAATTGAACATAGTATTTGATGTCAGTCAGTGTGGATTTGACGCCGCTTTGAACAGTATTCCAGTTATATCATGACTTGTCAGCTTGATGGGGGAAAAATCACGAAGTGATGCAGGTCTCCGATGTTTACCACTTTGGGGAAACCTACGAGGAAGAGTATGGTGCTGACAAACCTAAAAACATAATCGGGGCGGACCAGTCAGCTTGTAGGAACTTGTACACAGTGCTTGGAAGACCGTCTCAGTGGTCTAGTGGTACAGCGTCCGCCCGGAGAGCGGACGGTCCGGGGTTCGACCCCCAGCCGCGTCATACCAAAAAAGTTAAAAGATGGTACTTGTTGTTACCCTGCCTGGCGCCCAGCGTTAAATGGAGAAAACAAGTACTGGTCGGCTCGGAGTCAGTATACTGTGTCTGAGTGGGGTATTCATGTTACAACACGTCATGGTGTCTCAGTGGGCAACTACTATAAAATCGGCATTTGTCCGGACTAGTTCAAGCAGCCACAGACGCACACACACACACGCACGCACGCACGCACGTGCATGCACATCGCTACATAAGTGCAACAATCTTGTACGCATCAATGTTAAACCCCATTTCACTTCACCTCGTATTTCAGAGGTAGTGTGGTAGTCTGGTGGTTTAAGCGTTCGCTCGTCACGCCGACGACCTGGGTTCGAATCCCCACATTTTGTGAAGCCCATTTCTGGTGTCCCCGCCATGATATTACTGGATTATTGCAAAAGCGGAGTATGATATGGTGTGATAAATGGGAGAAATCCAATAGACAATGATCATATAAAAAGTCAACTATGCTTGTCGTAAAAGGCGACTCACGGGATAGGGTGGTCAGGCTCGCTGATTTGGTTGATACATGTCATCGATCCCAATTACGTGGATCGTTGGTCATGATATAAATCACTGGGTTGTCTGGTCCAGAATCGATTATTTACAGACCGCCGTCATATAGCTGGAATATTGCGTTAAAGGGGCACTGATCTAACGCAATTCCCTGGGACTGGTTCTTGCCTTTGTTATTGTTTTTTCCGAGTGAGTACCCGGATGTATAGCAGAAATCTAGACTTGTTCGCGACCTCTGCTGCGCCATTCGTAAGCGCATTAGTCACGTTTATGGATACCGGTAGTAATTAGGGCGTATGGTCACATTGATCAACAAAATGAAATACAGTTTTCGAGATAATAAGGAAATGTAGGTATCTTTGTGGGTAGCATCGGTAATGGTGACGAAGTTTTGATAAGTCACTTGCTTGGTAATTTTGCGATTTTCGTTTTCACTATTTTGACTTGCAACATAAAGTAAATATTTCACCTGAGCATTGCTTTTTTTATAGTGTGTATATTATTTTACTGTCAAAATGTGTAACATATTTATTAAACGTCTAAATATTCAGTTATTTTACAAATTGACTGAAAAACATTTCCATCTCTATTATTATGATAACGAATTCCAAACATTTTGATGTTTAATGTCATCACCAAGAGACTGAAAATGTTACGTTGAAAAGTACATTTCTATGTTGTTTGGCTTCTAATCCTACATAATAATCTGTTGTGATTTTTGTAGGCCCTTTTGATATTCTTAATCAATCTGGACAGATTTTTTTAGACAAAATAACTGAAATATTTACACATTTTATAAATTGCCTGAGAGAATCACATTTTACAAATTGACGGTAATATATACACGCTTACAAAGGAAAAGACCTGTGAAAACAACGTCTATCGCGCATTGAAGAATTTCCATACCAAGACGTAGAGAAACAAGAACGAATTATCGGTTCAAATGAAGGAAAACAAAATGCAAATACCATAATAACAACCCACCAAATTTATGTGTATAAATTTTAGGCAGCTTTCTTGTTCGAGGAATGTATCCGTGAATATCCACACAAAGGAACAATATCCCACTCGTCTGCAGCTGTACAAAGAAACTTATTCGATGTCACGTGCCTCTGTGACAATCAAATATTTTAAAAGATATATATCGTTTCGGGATATTATAACCCGTGTTCGTTTCTCAACTGATCACTTGGATTGTTTCAGGTGTTTCACATAGGTGTCAAGTCTCAAGGGTCGGCTGAGAAGGCCCACGTGACAACTATTTTCATAACGTCCACGGTTCCTAAAAAATCCATTGAGTGATAGATAACAATGATCAATCAATCAACGTATTATCAGTTGTATGTTGTTTTTACATGGGCACTTCACGCCATGATATGAGTGTATTCCCTTTGTTTTAGTAAACCTAGACATGTAAACACTCAAATTGTTTGATAGGCATTACTTAGAAGTTGACGGATGACAAGATAGACACAATTTTTATGGATAACAACTTCTTTAATACTTTTCACAGTTATTCATAAAAAATTGTGTCTATCATGTAAACACTCACTTTTGACATATCCACTGTGCAAGATAACAGTGATTAATCAATCAACGTATTTTCTGTTAACCCTTTGATGACTAGGAACGATCCGTTGATTTACAAAAAAAAAGTAAATCAACTGATCATTCATCTCTTGCTGGGCTGCCACGTGCATATTACATAACACACATTTCACCTCACTTCAAACCTGGATTTAGATTGAATAATTACCCCAGACACAATAAATGCCAAATGGGAACCTTTGTCAGGTAATCTAAGTGGTGCTACCACTAACTGTACCTGTAATAAATTCATCAAGTGAATGACGACAAATACACAAGTGTAGGGTTATACGAGAAAACGTGGATGACAACAAGGGAGTAGTAATCGTATTATCGACGCAATCCGAAATCCGAAAATGCTTTCACTGCATGGATACTTTTTTTAGTATTAAACTATAACCATCTGGGGTATTTCCAAATGACGACATCCGATGAGCTCCGCCGTTCTTTTTGCCTATTTGTTTAGGCTGAAGAAATGAATTAACATGCGCCCTTTGTCGAAATCTTTATAGATCACAGTCAACCAATCAGTGTTTATGCAAAAATGCGTAAAACAAATATTGCCTCCAGCCTCCAAGTTTATTTAACTGTCCTTGCAGACGGTAGCCCAGTCTCTGGTCACGCTCAGTTGCGTTGCGTATCATCCGGGTAATCACGGGGGGAAAACAATAACAAAGGCAACAACCAGTCCGGGGAATTGCGTTAGATCAGTGCCCCTTTAATCAACAAACCAACCAACTTGGGGGTTTATGCTGCAGCGTTAGGTTTTAGACCACTATCCGGACGCCTTTTACGACAAGCATGGGTTGCTGAAGACCTATTCTACTCCGGATCTTCACGGGTCAAAACCCCATGTGCCCCTCGTGATCCTGCTACAACTTAAAATAATACCTCGGTCCGCAATGTTCTGATATTGCATAAATTCACTGTAAATGACGTAACGCCAGATCCCGACCCATTCCGGGGCGGTCGGGTAGCCTAGTGGTTAAAGCGTTCGCTCGTCACGCCGAAGACCCGGGTTCGATTCCCGACATGGGTACAATGTGTGAAGCCCATTTCTGGTGTCC